GCCCACGCGGCGGTGGTGAGGAAGTGGTACTTGTTCGTGAGCGAGGCGATGGTGAGCAGGCGCCGGAGGTCCGTCGCCGCGCTGCGGTACACGGCGATTTCGGAGGGTCTGTGGGTGGCGCGGGTGGTGTAAGTGGGCGCGGAAGTGAGAAGAGTGGAGCGGGCAGAGCCACTCACAGTGCATAGAGAAGCGAGAGGAGTGTGCGAAATTCCTGGGCGGTGTCGCCGAAGAGACGGATTGGGTTGCTGTCGCTAAACCCTTCCTGGAGGGCGCTTTGGCTCCCTTCGCCGAGGGGGAGGGAGAACATGTCCTGGAAGGCGGACGAATCGCGCGCGAGCAGGAATCGGTGTACCTGTTTCACATCGCAGCGTTGAGTAAACCCGATAAGGATGGGAGCGGTGGATGGGAGCGGTGGATGAGTAGATCACCATGAAAGGTGGTTCAAGGACATACCCTGAACAGTGTGTTTTCGACTCTGATAACACAATCCGCGCCATCTATGTAGTATGCCTCATCTCGGACCACAGGGTCGCTGACAATCATCATCGCGTCTGTCGCAGCGTGTTCGCAATCTTGGAGGTCGTCTAAGCTGTCGCTGGAAGTGCTGGTGGAGGCGTCTTGGTAGAGAGGGGGAGAGAGTCCGCTGGCCGGGTCGGGGCCTTGAGTGCGTTGACGCTTGCGCGGAGGCTCATTCGGAGAGTGCGACAGTGGATTCTCGGTGCATGGGGCGTGAGGCGCTGACGGGGGAACGACGGGGCTAGGATCGTCCGTGAGCATCGCCTTTCAGACGCCGACGCAGGTGTTGGAGTGCAGACGGGGAGACGCCGGCGGGTTGGGGAATGCGGTGTGGAGGAATAATCCACAATTGGCCTGGCACAGGCCAGCAGCAGGCGCCCGTCCTGCCTCTCCCACCGGAACGTGCCGATCCCTCGATCGCCCGATCAAGACGTCTCGCCAGCGCAATATCGCGTTGGAAAATCCCTCGTGGTAAGAGTCACTCCACCCACATGAATTTATTGCGACTCTCAAAGCAGAGGAAGGTACTGGTTCACACATCGTGGTCTTCGTCGCCCCTGCCGGTTGTATGTCCGATTCTATACCAACTTCCTTCGCTTGCGCTCAGTCTCCATCGGACTCACAGGGTGTAGCAATTCTAGGTTTATCGCACCGGCAGTGATGTAGATTGGCTGCGACGCTATTCCATAGCGCTCTGAGAGCGTGTAGGGAGGTAGTCGCCAACTTGCACTTAACCTGAAGTATATGTTGTAATATCCAAGTTGGACATGGCACAGCAGGACTTGAGGAAGAACCTGAGCTAGAGCCAGAGAATCGCTCTATTGTATCCGCCTTGCAAGACCGCCAAGATTAATATACCTCGAGAAAAGAGATTGCAAACAAAGCCAGCAAATGATGATAAAGCCAAGCGATATTAGCAATAGCAATGGACAGCACATACTGATCAACTTGAAATACAATCATTGTCCCATTTGGTTCGACGAAGGCCGGGAATAAGACCAAGCCATCAAACTTTGGCCGCATAATCATCTACCATTGGTGAAAGCATATGCAAAAGTCTGCAATCACACCAGTAAATAACTCACGACGGACGAAAACCGTGGCATACCTTTCCATCCTATGCGGTCACTCCACAACTAGGCCTGACCCAGGACCTCTCCCCGTCCGTCAAGGGCGCGTTGCCGTCCTTGGATGTCTGCATATTGAACCGTGTCTCAGGTTTACCTCTCTCGTCTATGATCTGGGCTGACACCATGAAATATTCACGTGCTAGAAAGGCATCGAATATGTTCGCACGTATTCGACGCATTCCTAGCGCGCGAATATTTCAGGGTGGTGGATGCCCCATGATTCGAACAAACGTGGTTCTGACGCAGAAAAAATCTCCTCTTAAAAAACAGCAATAGATCAATATGCAGGAGTTTGAAGCCTCGACGCGTCTCCTGAGACTCGGACGTGCGGCTGGAATTCATGGATGAGCGCGACCGATCGCGGCAGGTACCGAGCCAGCTCGGGAAATCTGTGAAACGATCCGAATGGCATGAGACGCCACGTATAGGAGACCTGAGTAGTTCGGCATTCCGACCCTGGATTTATTGGTTCATTGTATGCAGGTAATCATATCTGTCAATCTATATATGTTCAAATAATTCCTCAGGCCTCTGATCTCGCCTTATCATGAATCTCAGGCTGCTCTCAAGGCTCAGGACGACCATGGTGGCGATTGCCGCTGGACCTGAATCATCAGTGGCCGCATCATCAGCGGTCACCGACAGCCCCAAGGTGCCCCCAGAACTAGTCGTCGAGTTGCTCCGCTATGTACACGACGGCCCTTCGTCGCTGTCTGCATGTAGCCTGACCTGTCGATCTTGGGCCGAGGAAATCCGTCGCAATCGTTTTCGACAGGTGGCCCTTGAGTACTCTAACATTCACGCATTTCATGACCTCATTCAGCATGCTCCTACCGTCGGGAGTTACGTCAAACATCTGTATATCCAGATCGAGCGTGCAGACGACGTACTATGGCAACTACAGCAGCACGAGGTAGTGAAAGACATCGCTGGACGAATGCGGGATGTGCGATCTCTGAAGCTTGTATGCTACCTCGTCACCCCCACAACGGTGTCGTCGTTGGCGAGCTTGTTCTCGGCGGTAGAGCTGTCGCTTGGGATGGTCTTTTCACTCAGAGCTGAGGACATAGCGAGTCTCATTCGTTCCTTCTCTGTTCTCAAGATACTTATTGTCGAGGACATTGTGGTGGTTCCATCCACCAATCTCTGTGCGACCACGAAACCCTCTGCATATCGAGCCTTCCTCTCTAAGCTGGGCATTCCGAGACTGAATCATACCACCCCTCTGCCTCTCGAGACAGTCTCCTCTGATGACTTGGTGCATCTTAACTCATGGATCTGTAACGAAATGTTCCGGGAAAGTCACGGGTACAATCTCAACTTAGCTGCAGCTCACAAATTTGGCACAATCCTTCAAGGTGTAGGTGCTTCTCTCGAAGGTCTCATCATCCGCCTCCCCACCCCCCCGGTGCGCCAAGAGATCCAAGGCGAGTGTTGCCCCCAACGTCAGTGTGATTGTCTTGCTCAAGCGTGCCACATGGATTTTCAGTGGAGTGTGGCTTGGTGCATTGCGTTCGCCTCTGGAAAGTGGTGATCGACGCAATGGAAACGTATGACACCAGACCCGCTCCGGCTCCATATTGGGTGCTTACAATCCTGGGATCCATCAAAACCAAGAGCGTACGCGTCATCATAATTCACAACATCGAGCTCAGCCGCTGGCGTAGCTGGCTCCCCGGATTCGATACTGTACTCGCTCGCGAGAAATTTCTAAATTTGGAGCAGGTGCGATTCATCAGTTTTGCATCTGCTCCAATCATCGAGAATGACATTCGCGCCATGCTTCCCAAGTTGGATAGACGAGGCCTACTGACCATAGAACATCTCCTCTCGGAGAATTCAGAGAATCCTGACAGCCGATCCGGAATGAGGCATGCATACTTTCATGAAAACCAATTGTACACGAAGCGTCCGCGCATTCTCTATTGACATGACCCACGAACTACTGTGAGTGTATCTTTCAGGATACTCCGGACGAGATACAGGATTGTCTCATGATGTTCATGACACAAGCTTCTCTCGGAGCGGGTGAAAATGATCCCGACATCGGTATGTAGTATGGGGGGAGAAGTTGGAGTCTTGGACCCAGTTCGGGGGTGATTGGGTGTTCCGGAAGCGCTGATTAATGATGTAAGTTAGTGTGCAACCTCTCGCAAACATACGAGGGAGCTGATTCCGTATCTAGATAGCTAGACGCTCCCGGGCCACGAAAGCCACACTTGGGTGTACATACGAATGTCTCGAAGCATTGGCAGCAGTCGCGTGCTTTCTCCTACAAGCTTTGGCTTCCGCGACCTGCAGTTTTTCCTGTGATAGAAGCTAAGCAGATACTCAACAAGGAGGAATTGATACTTGAAATTACTGGTGCTTGTATCTGGGCTGATGTCAATGATCTCGCACCTGGTCGCAAGTTCGGCTTAGAGATCGGGGGTAGCCCCGCTTTCGCCCTTGTGCCTCTATTCCTGCCTCACTTTACCGGATTTTCTGTACCATTTTCTGCACATAGATTTGCACTTCTCGAGGAGTCTCTTGTACCTCCACATACGAGTCTGCTCTGCCGCTACGTCACATTATGCGCTTGCCGCACCTGGTCCCGCGGTTCAGCCACTACGTCACCTTCATCCTCTTTCCCCTCCTGCATCTGATTCTGCGGCTCATCCACTACGTCACCTTTCGTGCGCCTTCTGCACCTGGTTATGCGACTCAGTCACTTCCTCACTTTTCCTCATCTTCTTGCTCCTCTTGCATCTGGTAGTGGCTCAGTCGCTATCTCATCTTCCTCATCTTCCAATTCCGTTTCTGGCACATACATATTCCTCCGAATGCCTAATTTGTCTCTTGTGCGTAGTTCCAGACTTTCATTTCAGCATTGTCGTGAAAGCGCGTGGTCTGTTGCGTATCGTCTTCCCAATGCACTTTCGGACGTCCATCGTCATGCGTTTCACATGCGCCTTGCTCTGCGTGTTCGTGCTCACGTCACCATTCTCTTGAGCCTCGTCTGATTCATCACGGGATCCCGGCGGGTGCTCTTTTGTGGGATAATCTATACGTGAAGACTGTTGAAATGGGAACACCACAGCACTAATAAGCCGATTTAGAGGGACATTTTAAGGAAAGACTACAGCGTGCCTGTTTAATCGCGAGGATGAGTCGATTCGGTCCGTTGATGACCACCTCGTTCCTAGCAGGGACGACGGGTAGTGAGAAACGATTTTTCGCATCTGAGGAAATTCCAAGAAGTTTATCTTCCATGCTTGATGAAATACCACACCGGAAGGGAGGCAATAGTATATACATTCTGCTTGTACACCCACTCTACCATGTGCCTGTTTGAAATCTGTCTGGGCAATTCTGCGATTTGGACCTGGAAAAGGTAGATATCGTTCATCGAGTTGTAGCCTTTCAAAGCCCCGGAAACTGAATAGCCACTGGGGCTGTAAATAAACGCACATTATTTGAAGATGATGCCGCCCAGCTCCCAGACAAGTGGAGAAAATCTTGAACTCAAGCTTAACTTGGCTGAATCTCAATGAAAACCTGCACTGACATTCCAATTCTTCTCGAGACTCGGAACGCGCCTCACATAATATCCGAAACGACCATTATATTTCTCCCCGTCGTCCGGAGATGAAACTGGTATAATACAGTGTGTCAGCATCGAATATCAACATGCCGCATGAATCCTGGAGAAGACGATCCCACGCGATCACGGAAAGTATAGCGGGGAATGATTGCTTACTTGTTCGATGTCCCCGCGCAAATTCGAAGGGGTAGTATGACCTCTCTGACACGGACAGTCCATGAGGCTCAAGCATCGTCCCATATGGCCCAACGAAGACTGATGATAGGGCTTGGCCATCAAAGTAAGGTTTCATGATTATTGGTTACTGTAAGGAAAGCTGATGGCAACAGTATATCCCAACACCTGTAACCATACCTAAATCCTCATAGCACACAATTTATGTCACTTACCCATTCAACTTCTCTACAAACCGCTCCAAAAAGATGTGTTATCCAGGTCCACTCTCGATCCATCCGTGGTGTGTTGAGATCTTTTGAATGTTTGTATATGGACGTCTTTCTTTTGGATTATTCTCTCGCCTACAATGTCAATGGATACATCTACCCCCAGCTGGGCTCGAGCGAACACATATTGAGATGCGGAGGTCCAGGGGAAATACGACTAGCGTAGAAGTATCGTCAGGTTCAACTTACAAAACAAAGGAAGAGAATGAATAGCGCATGGCTGACTCGTTCCTGCGGGAGAATGCCAATACCATGGCATTTACAGTAATACATGTTGTACAGTCATAGCCGGCGTGAATCGCAGAAATCGAGTTGCGACCGATCACGGCAGATGCCGAGCCTTGGCTATCTTTCTCGCAGCCCGCTGAGCAATTGCAGGTTGCGTCTGCACCCAGAGTCAATTTGTTCTCCTGTTCGCGCCTTTTCTACGTTTGAAAAATGGTGCGTAGCGCATCGCATACTCTGAGAGAGTCGGGCTGATTTGAATGCGCAGAGACCTATTCTATTACAAGGTGAGGCGTAGCAGATTCACTTTTTGCACACATTTTCTGAGCCGACTGCAATACTTTAGGACACGAGCGATCGCTAACCCAGATCAAATTTAACCGCGAAGGCGACCTCCTCTTCTCATGCTCAAAAGACCATGTCATCAACGTCTGGTTCACACATAATGGAGAGCGGGTGGGCACATATGATGGACACAACGGGACAGTGTGGACGCTTGATGTAGACTGTGCGTCACATTTGTTTGCGAAGTTTCTGATCTCTGATCTCATGCGTTCCTCCCCTTTCTTCGCGTCTTATATTTCGTCATTTGTGCCCCGAACGTCTAGCACAATCGCGTTTTCTGATCAGTGGCTCCGCCGACAACACCATGCGTCTATGGTCCGTGCAAACGGGGAAATGCCTCTACCGATGGGAGTTCCCTACAGCAGTGAAGCGGGTGGCATTCAGTGAGGACGACGACCAGGTCGTCTGTATCACTGAGCAGCGGATGGGGCACCAAGGCGCGGTGCGGATATTCAGCATTAACAGGGACGACGACGGCACCAATCGTGAGTTCGCGATTTCTCATCCGCTGCGGGCCTATGAGATCTGATCCATTTCGTACTGCAGAGTCGAAAGAGCCCACGTCGATGTTCCATCCAGTCGGTTCGAAAGCGACGCTGTGTGCGTTCGCGCACACGCCCGACCTCATCCTGATGGGCCACGAGTCGGGCAAGGTCGCTCTTTTTGACGCGAAAACCGGCGATGAGGTCAACTCGAACGAGCGCGCACACATGGATCTTGTCACAGACATGCAGCTGAGTCCTGATCGTTCGTATTTTGTCACGAGCAGCAAGGACAAGACGGCGCGGGTAAGCCTGCCCCTGCCATTTGTATGTACTCGCAACGCTTACCCCTTGACTAGTTACACGAGACCAGGACGCTGATGGTGATGAAGACATACTCGACCGAGACGCCGCTCAACAGCGCAGCGATCGCATTAGGGAAGCCTTATGTAGGTCTTACGACCCGTACGTCTAATCGTTCGCTGACCACGCTGCGCAGGTGCTCCTCGGGGGTGGTCAGGATGCGATGAGCGTGACAACAACATCCCTGCGACAAGGAAAATTCGAAACGCGCTTCTGGCACAAAATCTTCGAGGAGGAGGTCGGGCGGGTCAAGGGTCACTTTGGGCCTATCAACACGTCAGCTCTTTCTACCCTCGGTTCTCTGCTTGTCACCCACTTACGCCGTATCGTCCATAGCATTGCGGTCTCCCCAAAAGGCGACTGCTTCGCGTCCGGCGGAGAGGATGGCTTCGTGCGCGTGCATCACTTCGACGAGAGCTACTTCCGCGCCAAGCCGTATGGTGACCTCGAGATCGCGGACTAGGTGGGGCGGAGCGAACGCAGTGCTGCAGCCGGTAGAGTGTACAGTAGCATGCATGGGTACGATCGCTGTGTTTTTCTGCTGTGCTTCTAACTTTGTTGTATCGATATGATGTGGCTCAATCTCGGGTGCTTCGTCTGCCTGCACGAAGGGGCTGCGAAGTCTGCATGCGTGCGTCCTCGGACTTGAGCAGAACCTCCGCCAGCGTGCTGTATGTATACGGCGGATTGGATCGCGTACAATAAAAGCCGTATGCACTCGGGTGCGTGGCTATCTTTTATTCTCAATTCCTCGGACGTCTGTGCGCAAGCGAACTGTGCCTCGGAAACACACCCCGCCGCTATTATTCCGCAGATCCCTCTGGCACTATGATGCTCAAATGCTGCACTTTGCACGCCAAACGATGCTCCCTTGTTGCACGTTGGCCGATGCATCCTCCTCGTGGTGCCACGATGGGATCTGCGTGCGGCGGATTTGGCAGGTTTGTACGTTCGAGCCTGGCTTCGCGAATTTATCAGAGGTTGTGATTCTCTTCTCGATCGATATTCATTGTCCATTCGAAGCTAAAAGGCTGGATATAGACGGTAGGAACAAACACCCGGTGCGTGCCTAAGCGATGACCGTGTGTGCAAGATGTTCTCCTCGCTATTGTCCTCTCATCAAGGACGTGTCCGGGTACGATGCTAGGGGCACCGGCCCGCATTGGATGGGCGCACTGCGTCCGACACTGCGCGTGCCTTCACTTGAACTTCCCCAACACTTTCACGCCGCGCCCGGCGTCCAGAACACAGCGGCGTATTCTCCGATTCCCGCTGTGCCTCAGTAAGCATTGTATTACTGCGCGCAGACACACGGGCACCATCACACATTTCTGAACCCAAGCAAATTCTATAGGCTATCTGGGAGACCAAGTCGACCAATACAGGTAGATGAAGCTAGAGACGCTGTAAGTACGCGGGAAAGCAGACGCTACCGGGGCGCACAGGCATCAAACGCCGATGCGAAACTGACAGGGAGCACAACCAAGGAACTCTGGGGGCATATCATGATACCTATAGGCTAGGGGGAGTGGCGGTGGAGCGAAACGGAGAGCATGCGTGCCGGACCAAAAGAGGCGAAATCCAGATATGATGGGATACTCGAGACAGCAGGGAAGTGGCAGCGAACAGATGAGCTAAGACAGGTCGGCTGGTCGACGAAGACAGCGGGGCGAATAGATAGCGCTACACGAAAACTTTCTTCTTTCCTCTCTTACATCCACAGAACCGCGCCCTCGTTCCACCCGGCCGGCTTGTATCGTCTACAAAAGCGATTGTGCTGCAGCCCGTCGCCCCCACTTTTTGTGGGCAGTCGCGGCGCCACACCGCACTGCGGTATGCAACCACGGACACACCGCGACGTCTACTTGCGGCGGACCGCTGGAAAGCCGCGTGGATCAGAGAGTGATGTGATTCAACAATGGAGGGATAGAGAGGCGTGTCGTGACAATGGAAGGGCCATGCGAAACAAACGGAATCTATCTGGGAAAAACGCGTACATAGTCGTGAGTGATGGATGGGATGAGATAGAGCCACGGCAAAAGATCTTGCGAAATCGTGATTGGCACCGGGGCTAGACACTAGGGTCGGGGAGTCAGAACAGTCGGGCTTTCTTGCGCGAGCGGCGACCCAGATCATGTAGGCTTGTAATAGATCGTTGTGATATACTGTGAGGACGAACGCGTGAGCAGCCCGGCTACAGTCGCCCGGCGAGAATGTTGAAAAGGAGCAGAAATCCAACTGATACGCACCTTCTTCCGGTACCTTGTCGTGTTCGCCACTGCTAACACGCCATTTTTAATCGCACTCGTGCTCAGATGATGTAGCACAACATGAGACGGCACAGGCAAGACACTCGCGTCGTCCGCCGATCCAGCATACTCGAGTTTTCCGACCGCAGTGACTGCAGTGTTCGCTTTCAGATTGTCGGCCATTGGGGAGGGAGGTGCAAGGGAAGCGGTGATGTCGGTCCCGGACGCGGTGACGACAGGGAGACCAAGAGGTGAAGGTAAATGATCACCATCGCCATTGATGCCCGCTGCGGCACTCAAAGACATCATACCGAGGTGGGATGGACGTGGACGACCATCCCTGTCTCGCTCGCGCCTGGATCGGTCTTTACCTGACCTTCGCGAACGCTCTCTCTCCCCGGGCACAGGCGAGCCACTGACAGCCGACGGTCGGACATTCAAGATGAGTTTGTCAAGGTGTCGAGGCAAGCCAGGAGCTGGGGGAATATTGGGTGTCGGAATACCACCAAAGGCGGACGCCGACGAGTTTGAAGAGACGTCATGCGAGTCGGTCGAAGCCAGGTAGACCTCCTCTTCAGCTGCAGCCGACATAAGCTCAGAAGGAATCTCTGTTGTCCACTCCGGCTCTGCTTTGCTCCGTCCTCCTTCACCATCTGGGCCACTGATCCCACCACCGGTAGCACTGCTTGCTTCACTCCAAAAGCTGTTTATGTGAGCCGGATGGGTGTGGGGAGGGCTCGCGAGGGGGGAGATGGACCCCGAGACAGGAGTTGTTACGATCTGTGGCGAGGAGGAGGAGGAGATTTGAACGGCAACGTAATTGGCAAGCGATCCATCTCGATCGTCGACCGCTGTTGGATAATCATCGGTGATGCGCCATTGACCATCAACGATGAACTTGAGATGGTGGGTGCCGGGCAAGAGGGAGACAAAAGTGAACCACTGGCCGGTGGTAGAGCTGGGAGAGAGCTGATGAGATGATCGGGGATGAGAGGTGAGATGCAGACTCACTCAAACTCCATGGGCTGTCTTCCTTGCCAGTTTTCGTCGCCCGCACGTGCGAGGACGACCGCCTTCCCTGCTCCACGATAGGTGATCTTTACGGACACAGGTTCCGGATTGCCAGTGTCTTCTTCGGCTTTGTGTAGGGCCAGGGGGAGGGTGCTGTAGACGACCTCAGGAACAAACCCGGATTTATGGATGTCCTCACGCGGGGGCGAGTGCTCCTGAACGCGGTACATGAAAGAGCGAGACGCATTGGTCAAGTAAGACTTGTTGTTTCTGGTGTGGTCATTGTAGTTGCTGAGGGCGATGTGTGCAGCGGAGGGGAGGTTGTTTTGTGGCCTGAACGTGGGCTGGGGAGGCTGGGCGGATGTGGGGATGGGGATGGGGGAGGACGCACGAGGCCTGCGGTAGGCACCGTGGGGGGAGACGGAGGCCGGGGAGGGGGAGCCTGCGGGGGTGAGGGCGAGGGACGCCAGGTCGGGCAGCTCGAGGGACTTCTTCTTTGTGCGTAGGGAGCGGTGGACGCGCTGGGAGGCGGCGGAGGGCGGGCGAGCGGGGCTTCCGCGGCGGGCAGGGGAGTGGGAGTGTGCAGAGTGGGAGGCGGGGTTGGAGGTGGTATTGCCCATGGCAGGGCTGAAATAGCTGGACTGGCGCAGAAGCTGCCCGTGGTACGTTCCCTCTCCTCTCTCTCCTCTCCCCGCCCCCTGTTTGGCTCTGTTTGCCCCCGCCTTCGCTCCCGAGTGGCCTCCTCCTCTCTCCTCCCCAGTCCATCTACAGCATGCCGGGTCGCTGCACTCAGCCCCAGCCCAGCTTCCGACATCCCCCCGTCCCACACAGTCCCAGAGGCTGGCCACGTCGCCCTACCCGAGCTATGCTTCATGTGGAGTATCCCAAGTGAGCGACCGCGCAGCTTACATACTGATGGCGGCGCTGACTGTCGGACCCCTCCTTTTCAGCCAAGCTCAAGGTCACTTTGCCGCCACTTTACGCGAAATTGTGTGCTCGCCATCATTCACGAGCAGCCATCTTTTGTCGTCCATGCCTTATCTGGAACCTACTACGTCGCCATGCCGTCTTTTTCGCTAGCAGGGATCTGCTTTTCTTCGGCTCAAGCATCGGATAGCATCAACCACAAATTCAAATATTCATCCCTTGCATTTCCATTTTGCCACGACGATCAGGGCGCGCCATCGACATGCACGACCCTGCCAGACGCTCCCTGCCATGTTCTGCATCCGGCCTCGACACTGCCATACGATCCGACAATCACCACCAAATCACCACTACATCGGCCTACCTATCCTGAACGGAGGCTGAAAGTTCCGACTGGCGAGCTGCCGTCGGGGATGAGTGCAACGCCGCGTCTATCATCATCACGCACGTCCAGGAAGCCGTTTGCCATCACACTGGCACTCAAGCCGTATTTTCCGTCTATCGACACGTTATAGGGACGTAATTCGAGGAAATTCTTCGCACGAACTTATTGAAGGCGATCGCCGCCCGGATACTATCATTAGAGTGAGCCTCCAACCACGGACACCCGTCGTCATGTTCTACACCACAGCGAGTCCATTCAGATTTCTATAGTCGAAAGGCTCCATAGAACGACCTCGGGGCGTTTATGGGATTGGGTTTACTCCAACAGGCTTAGCTCCACAGCTCAGCGGCTTATGGCTCCAACGTGGAATAGACTTTGAAATCAGCGTAATCTCCGGACCTTACCACCCGCTGCTAGATAAACGCATGTGGGCTCGCTATAGCTAGCTTCCAGACTTCAGTCCATCAGGGATCCATATTCGCCAGCGGGAATCGCGACCACCTTCGTCAGCACCTTGGTAAGATACAGATGGCCCCTCACGTGGGGTGGGAACGAAAGGTGCGCAATCGTATAAATCCTGTGCGTACGAAGGCTCCTTCGAGGTTGAGCGACGATAATCAGACCAGTGAGCTATCGGCAAGGCGGCGGCGCAACACCCGATATTCCCTGGGAATGCGGACAAGGAGCTTTCGCACGTCGTTTGCAAGCGGATTTGTAAAAGTCTCGGGGAACAAGAGCTGACATCCTTTTGTCCCGGATTATACTACGTTGAAGGTGGAAGATGCTCTATCAAGCAAAAGAACCACAACAGAATGTCGGAGACTGACGCATATGTCCGTGTTCAGCAGAGTAAGGACAGCAGATATTGCAAGTAGAGCCAGAAGGACTTCTTTGGGATCTCAGGACGGAACGGGCTGCTCGGACACAGCCCTCGGACCGAGGCTTGCCTAGCGCAGGAACAAATGAAGGGTTTGAACCGCCATCGTGGTAGATCTGCCTGATCGTCATTGTCGTGTTATGGGTGAGCTTCCGTTGACCCAACGATATGGCGTGTCATAGCGTGGCGATGCCATGACAAACCATCTCCAAATGCCCGCGGTATTCGTCGGGGCATTCGCTGGTTTCAAAGGGTGGACAACGCAAATTCTAGGTATGTCGAATGCGGTACATATCAATTTTGTAGCATATGCGAAAATAATCTTGTAAATTCTACGTCTCGTGCTTGTTGAATGTTCTGAAAGTCGTATGCCAACCTGTTGCTTTTTATTCTTGAGAGGAAATGTCTTTCAGCTTGGACCCCAGTTTTATTTACCGTATTTTTACACCTTGTCTGTGAACTCTGTAAGTTGGCAAACAGGGACTTCCATGTTCGGTGAAATTGAATGCGCGTCGGGATTTTACCAAATGGGTCAGGGCGCGGCACGGCCGCCGTCACGCGTCACAGCCCTCCGGGTCACGCAGCGCGTCCAAAACACTCGAACAGGCGAGGACAGCTGCACGTTAACGTACAGCACGCCCTCCGGTCTGCAGCTGTCCTCTCAGCCCTCCATGCTCGGCTCACCCTCGAAAAGGAGATACAGCGCTGAGGAGAAGCAACAGCTACTCGCCAACCTCGACCTCGAAGGTCCGTATCCCTGCCACACCTCACCCGCCCGGTCTACTCACCCCCGCACAGTCGAGCATCGTACACGGCAACTCGAGGAATGGCTCGCGGACACGCTCCAGAACTTCCTGCTGCACCAAGAGGGCCAGATCTCCCGCATCCCCCGCATCGTGCGCGATATCACGCTGCGCGAATTCGCGAAGTACGACGGGAACGTACAGGAGTGCGTCAAGGGCCTCAGACGCGAGTTGCTCGGCACGGAGGACACTGCGATCGACCCGAGCACGCGCAAGAGGAAGTGGGTCGCGTCTCAGGACACAGAGGACAAGGCGGACGCGAAGGCGAGTGGAAATGCGGTGGCTGGCTCGAGTAAGGATGCAGAGTCCTCGAGAGGCGTTAAGAGTGGTATGTGCTATGTATTTGGTGGTCTGCTTATTCTCATGCAGCTCGTGTGCCATACAGCTCGTACAATGACTGCTACTCCAAAGAAGAAAGCTGGGCCATCGACTGGTCCCGGAACAGCACAACGAGCACGGTTCCAAATGCCCAAAACACCCAATACTGTATGTGCCTCGCATATTTCTTCCGTCGACGTGCATTAATCATGCATCTCTTAGATCCGTACGGCACAGCGTGTCCCATCTATGACGTCTCCTAGCCCCCACAAAATTGGGCTCACCAAACCTTCCCTCTTCCCTCGCCACCCCACATACCTCGCCTCACCATCCAAATTGCCTTCATCATCTAAACCTCCGAATGCACATCCTCCCTCACGACCCGTCCGGCCACCTTCGTCGTCCACCTTTAACCCAATGCTCCCACCCTCACAGCCCCGCTGGCCGCGCCGAGACGAAAGCATGCTCAGCATCAACGGCTCTCCACTTGCAAACCCTTACCAGCTCGGGCTGAACGGCTACTTACAGACCGTAGCCGAGGGCGACCCGCTCGGCCGCGCCGATAGCGACAGCAGCGAGCATGAACTGCCGCGGCCCACACTGCAGAAGAAGAACAGCATCATCGTCCGCTCGTCCTCCCTCTCGTCGCAGTCCAACCCCCGCGCACTCAACGGCCTGCACTCGCGAACAAACTCGCAGTCGAGCGTATTCGCCCAGTCGCACACTTCGCGTGCGGAGCACTCCTCCAACTCGCACACAAACGCCAATGGCGCCGGGTCGTCGCGGACGAATAATCCCCCAGACGACGCGATTCCCCCGGAGGGTGCGCAGGAGAATCCGTTCTTGTCGCTGTCCGCGCTCGTGTCGGTCCCGACCAAGGACGGGCATGTTTTGGAATTCGACCCGTTACGCACGTCGCCGGAAGAGCTCGATGCGCTGGAGGGCATTTCCGACGGCGCGAAGAAGCAGGCGAAGGAGGATATGGCGAGACTGATACAAGCAGCAGTGGAGCGGTGGAAAATCAGCTAGGCTCACACCTACCCATCCTCAGGATTGAGTATCTCGTCTTCGCATATGTTTTCATCGCACCTGTTCGTCGACCGCATCCGCTCTCACTATCTCCTTGTAGACTCCTGCGCATCATATTGTATCATTACATTGCGTGCTATGTGTAATGGATATTACCGCCGGCTCTGGAACAACATGACAACATGCCTACATGCTGCTCTGTTAAGAAGGGTTTCTCCGGAACGTCTGCAGTCATGGTAAGATTGCCAAACTAGCGGCCCGGCATACGGTGTCCCCTCGATCCCTAACTTTGACTAGCAACGAAGGACCCACGCGGAGCCTGTACGGCATGGTCAGTGACAATTGTAGCAGCGGTGATAGGTCATCTCACCTCTCGGCTTGCTGTCTAAGCTCAAAAAGCCGACGCACGGGAATGGCGCCAATGGCGTGCCCTTCTCCCCGAGACAGCGAGTAATGACCGGTTGTGACATAGCCTATGATTGCGTCTTGCGATGGGGCCAACTTGGAGAGCTAAGATCAGAAGGCGATGATGATCAATACCTCGTGAATCAATATGGACGACACTACATTACGCACCTCATGCTCATTCTCCTCTTCCTGCTGCAATCCAGCTCCCATTTTTCTGATTCTCTCTGCGTCATACCATTTCTTAGCCTCAACGTCGTCCAAACGGTAGATCACGGCCAAGTCTTCTGGGTTGCCCCTCCCGCATAGGAGCACATTGACCAGAATGAGCGCACTCTTCCACAGATCATCCGCGCGTATGCGGCTATCCAGGGGGTTCTGCCCACGCTTCATTCGCAGCTGACTCATATGATCTAACAGACCAGCGGCAGGATTGAACATCGAAGAGACATTCTGCAGGATGGCCGCAACGTTTGCGCCTCGCAGCAACCACATATGGTCCTTCTTTGTCGTTGAAACTGAGGCATTGTCTGTCTCCATTGGAACATCTTCTCTTTGCGCGCTGATCAATTCATCACTGGGCGGAGGCCTCGACGGTGCCTGCAAGCCTAACACAACTTCCCAATCGGGCTTCCATGGACTCCTCGTCCCCAGTTTCTCGAAGTTTGTCCGCTTCGCTGGAGGTTTCCGTTCCCACCTACTGTGTTCCACCACCTCTCTCCCGTCAGCATATTCGGCATACGTCTCCGTGCTCGGGTAGTCGCGAGGAAAGTATGCACCGCCACCCTCGAAAACCTGCGTCTGACGCTCGCGTTGGCCGCCGACGCGGGTACCGGTGTAGATGAGCGACGAGAAAAACGGCATAGCCCAACCAGAGGGAATTATCAACGTCCATCCGTGCAGAGAAGGAGAATTGCCTGTGCGCTCGCCGGAGAATGTTGGAGATGAGGATGAGCCTTCAATCGAACGCTGAATGAGCAATACAGGAATCCGATCGTCTTTGTGGACCGCGTGCAGCTCCGTCCCGGGGACCAAGTTCTGTATCAACCAATATGTCAGCTAGAGACAATCCGGCCTCTTAATGAGCAACAAACTTTGGATCTTCGCTGATCAATGTCTTTCTTCTTATACCGAGGCTTTCGCAGACCGTCTCGAATAGATTCGTCCCAGATTTCGCATTGTGCGAGTGCAGCAGAGGGGAAAAGATTGGGCGGCGATGATAAAGGGGCATCGGACCCGTACTCAATCTTAGCATTCTTAGGTGGAAAGCTGTAGTTGTCGGTGAGCTTAAAGACAGATACAAAGAGAGAAATGCTGTGGTGCAAAATCACGCAGTTCACCTTAGACGTGGATCGTGAACTGTAAAACCTATTATCATGTCCCGTGGAAGTGAGCCCGTTGTTTGAATTTGGCTCAATGAGTTCCAAAACTGTAATCTGATCAGAATACGGAGAAGAATCATTGCCAATAAGAGCGCAGACCGCGTTAAATTCCGTCCTTTGACTGTCCTTCACAGGCCTTAAGGCCCCTTTGAGAATTTGATTAGCTTTGGGACCAGTGATTTCAAACGCGTTGACATGTTCCCTCAGGTCGGTGATCTCGATTTCCAATTCCTCCCTGCCAGCCTCTTTGGCTGATTCCAAAGCAAAGGAAGCGGCCGTCCGCAAAGTTTGATGTACCTCGACAATAACGGATGGATGCACACGCAGCCACACAGTCCGAGCCAACAATGGCTCATTGCGCTCTTTCTCTTTACCCTTACCCTTGCCTTTCCTCTTGCGCTTGCTCGGTGCATCAGTTGGAGCAGACTCGAGAAATTCCGGCTGTGACGTAGCTTCATTCAGACGGCATACCGGGCGCCAGATGATGCTGACAGGAGAGATGAGACCAAATGGGTACGACCCGTAACTGTATATGTGCGTTTCATAGGCCCGTGCCCCCGCGAGGAACCTAGCAAACTGGTCAGAGGCTCTTCCATTGGCATTGGAGATAAACAAGGACCTTTTTGCCCCCGCGCTTGGACCTTGACAATCACAACAAGCATCAAGAATTGCGCGGATAATGTCCTCAGGGCCCCTCAGCTCAACGAGAGCGAAGTACGATGCGTCATGCAGAATTGAGCCATGGACGGAGGCCCTATGAGACGGCCGGAAAGATTTCTCCGTTGGCTCAATAGCCTGTAAATCCCCATTAGAACCAACTAGAGCTAGACAATATTGGTACTCACTAATCGATAACCCCACATATTTTCCATCTTCATGCGCTTTGCGTGCCAAATGTGAGTTTCGAGCCACGTCTTATCACCTGAGGATGGGTAAGAGTAGATGGAGTGAAGGTGGCTGCATTCGGTAACGGAAACTTACGTTGTCGTCGAAGCAATTGCAGAGTCCTTTTAACGCGTTTCGCACTTCCCTGCTTGGGCATTGAGCGTCCTAACGCCTTACGGCGCATCGGGTCCATCTGGAAAAGTAGTCAAGCGGTTAGCGAATGGATGCTAAAATGCTCCTGAGCACACACTTCTGCGCGGGCCTTGTCTCGCAGTCGGAGCGGCACACGGCGGACGTCATGGCTGGCGGCCCTGCGACGTAGATGACGAGGAAGTTGTTGCCAGGCTCGCTGAGTAGAACTCGCCCTACAAAAGCAAAAAAGCATGAATTTCTCAGGGAGACCCATGCCATAAACGTGCTGCCTCTTTACCGTGCATTTTGCATTGCTTGGTGCATAGCGTTGATCTCGAATGCACGAGCCTGACAAGACCCGTGTGTCAAACTCTATAGTCAGCCATAAAACAGCCTGGAAATCATACTTCTGCAAATCTCTCAACATCCAATGACCCCGGCAATCCTTGCATACCTGCCAATGGCCCGTTCCAACTGATCTCAAACGTGTATTTAAGGTGGAGATTAGCTTACTATCAAATCTCACAGATTTCGACGAGCCTGCCACTGCGTTGCTTGTGTTCTTCGCTGCCGATGTGTCGGGCTGTACTGCTATAGTACGCGCAATAGCTGTCTTCTGTTTCTTCCTCTCGCGAGCAGTGGGCTCCTCATATCCTGCCTCGGAACCATTCTTACGTTTCGGAGGCATTTTAGGTCGGAGTAGACCCGTGAAACTCGGAGAACGCGGAGATACTGAACGCAAAATAAGGTGATGTGATTAGAGATGGACGAATGTGAGAACTTGAACTTGAGGTTCAAAACGGTGGTTCAGTCACCAGTGAATGGAGGAATTGCCACATGCGGATCACGCGTCTGTTGCTGTCGCCGGGACAGCCGGGACAAGCAAAGTGCGTGTAGTACGGACGCTAAACTCGGTGCACTACATTCGTTCCATCATGCTCTCGTTGCTGAGGCTCGGTTTCTCCTCCTCACGCCCGGTCTCGTCGCGCATCGTTGGTCGACATCTATCCACCACCAATGTCATCCGCGACGCGACGGCTCCCAACGTCGGGATCCTCCCACCCCCCAAGAAGCCTGTCGGTGCCTTCCGCGGCGGGTGTGTCTGCAACTCGTGCTTCCGCGTTGCTTTCATGTTTATATGATGGATTCTGTTCAATAGCGTTGTGGGATTCTTGTTTGGCTTTTCTTTAGCGTCCTCACTAGCTGCATACCACTTGTTGGAGGAGTACAAGATGGCATCGGCGGCGCTGCAGGCTAGTGTGGAGGAATTACAAATGAGCACTGCTAAGGTAGATAGTCTCAAAGTCTATTGGCCAGAGGTGGCATCTGAATGCATGCATCGCAGGTCTCTGCACACGTTAGACGGATAGAAGCAGTTGAGAAAGACCTCAAAGCGCTGAGCGAGACATCAGCTTCGAAAGAAGACGTCTCAAGAGTGCGAGCTGAAATGAAGAAACTGTATGATGGGTTGCATGTTGGTATGTGGTCGCACCATATGGTGGCTCAGCGCGTACTGATGTCGTGAATCCCTGAATATAGAATTCCTCGATTTACGGTCACATGTATGGGGCATTCGTACGTGTCCTACATTGCGTTTGCATTGGCCACCATTATTGACAGTAAATTTATACTTTAGAGCAAGACGTCCATGCACTGTCAAAGCGAGAGTCGACATCGGTTCGTATTGTATAGTAGAATATACACTGGCTGTTACGCGGATGCAAGGATTGTGTGCAGATACTCTGAGTTGAATCTGGGTCTCTATCGATATTTGAAAGCTAGTCAAAAACCTACGCATGCCATGATGCGTTGCAGCCCAGCCTGTTGATGGAGATCAGTCGACCGATAGCTACTGGTACCACGTTGTCGAGCATAACTGCAATACACGCGTGTTGGATTCTGCCGAAAGAAACATTCATTATTACATGGCATTTTGTATCTCTTCTTGCAATAAGTTCGCAAATTCTTGCACATCTCTCCCACTGCTCATTGTCAATGCCTCCAATGGAACCATGTTGTGTTGATGTGCGGGTGCATTGCGTGTCGCGACAGGATGGTCAAGTGAGTCTACCACCCGTAATTCCGGCTCGGTTGTTGTTGATTCCCCCCGAAGCAACAGTTCGTGTAGCTCTTCATATGTGAAAAGCAATGGGTCGGTCCGTGGCGCGTATGGGTTGAAGTCGAGAATATGTCCACGAGATAAATCACGCGTGAGCAGGAAATCGAATACATCTGGTAACAAGTTATGTCAATTAATGCGGACCTGGTGATTGCTGGAAGACAAGTTTTCTTACAATCACCGTTAGAATCCTCCCACCTGCCTTTTATTTTTGCCTTCCAGAATGTTTGAACCGCCTCTAGCACCTTCGCCTGAGTTCCTGGCTCAATCCAGAAGTCGTAATAATTGGGATCTCGTTGAGAAACTCCTGCATGGGTCATTGGTTAAAATTTAGATTTACAGGATATCAAACCGTTCGCGCCTAGTAGACGTTCCTGCCGAACAAAACACCTAATCTCTCTACTGCGGTCTACAGGATACCATTTGCGCAAGATTAGCTCCAATTCGTATTGCGGAAAGGGGCTTGTGTTTTCTCCTAAAGGCGAGAGCCCCTCGCATCCTTCAAAGACATGACTGGATGTTATATCGTGCTGAATAAAATCTGATGATTTGAGAAATAAGTATACATCTGCGGGCGACATGCATTTCAAAGGAGAGGAAGCAGGAAGCATCCATGCTGCATCCTGTATTCTGGTTAATGTGAATCAATAGAATAACACAAAACATACCCGGGGTGACGAGAAATTGAGCTTTGGGAACACAGCACCATACTGCACTACTGCCTCCCTAATTTTGGCATCTAACTCAGGAAACGCAAAATGTCGACGATCCGGCTCGCTTTCCTCCTCGTCACTGTCTTCGTTGTCCGACAATTCGCTCACGACGGGTCTGCATGGCATATTTTCACTATTTGTGTGTTGCATAGATTTCTTGGAATGACTGACACGTCTTCGGCACCATCAGGAAGAAATACGCCATCAGAGTCAAGATATTCCTGAAATTCTTGACTGAGAGGGCGTATCACGGTAGATTTAATGCTGATGCCAGAGAACTTGGGATACCAAGAAGAAAATTGGAACGCGAGTACATATTCTGGAGATAACGAAGGGAACAGGGCGGGCTTGTTGACTGCAGACGGCATGATGAGAGCGACTCGGAGAAGGAGATCGATGCCACAGATTGGATCGGTCTGTGATCGGAGGAATTAATGCAAAGGTCACGTGCAGAGGATGTGAATCTTGCTCAACTTAGCCTTATGTGCTCGGGTGCGTCTTCTACACGCACACTCTCACCCGGGCTAGACGTAACTATGCCCCTGGATGGCCATGCATACCTCGTTAGGCAAGGTTGGGGCGGGAAAGGCACTGGGCTTCGTACAGGTGCTATTGCTCGCCCGGTGACCATCGCTCAAAAGAAAACCCTTTCTGGAGTGGGCAAAGACCGTGACGATGCATTTCCCTTCTGGGACCAGTGAGTCCCTGTGTATTACTTCACTTTTGATTCTGACCACCTTGCTCGATTACTGCAGTGTATTTCAAGCAGCAGCCATCAATATACAAGTGAAGTTGAACCAAGATGAAGATGATTCGGTACGTATATCCACATTGTCGCTACTATACGTTTTCACTTACGTCATTTAGGACGGCGCTGCTACACCCGAACTCAGCGTAGATCTGCAACGCACGAGTACAGGCATCATCTCAAATCGCAGACCAAAGACAGGCACGCCCGCTCTATCTGGCACTACTACACCGGATGTCCAGGTTACCAGTAGCCCCACACCGCGGCTCAGCGTCATGGCTGTAGCGAAGCAAGAAGCTGCCAGGCGGATGCTCTACTCCAGCTTCTTCCGCGGACCCGTGCTTGGCTTCAACGATGATAAGAACATCGCACCGGCGACCATACCAAGCCCGTCGCATGCTAGAGGACGTTTCGAAATTCTCACAGAGACTGACGGCCCAACATCGGGGGTGCTGAAAGAAAAGAAGAGGAAGCGGGAGCCAGAGGACCGTTCTAATCCACCTAGCGACCGAAAAGACAAGAAGCGATTGAGAGAAAAGTCTGCGAAAGATAGTGGTCGAAAGGAAGCAAAGAAACGTAGGAAGGAGGAGGATACAGTGGAGGCCCCTGGTGCTAGTGTTGGTGACAGAGCTGATTTCGAGGGCGTCGTAATGTATTCTGCCCAGCTCGATCAAGGTCGGGAAGCTAAGCGCATTGAGAAGGCAGAGAGGAAAAGACGGAAAGAGGAAAAGCGAGCAAGAAAAGAGGAGCGACGCAAACCCAAATGCAACTTTGATGGTGAGGATTCCAGGTCAACTGCGCGGACGTGGGATGGCGAAGGGAGGCGGAACTTGGATGATACATCGGTACGATCATCGACGTCCATGGTTGATGTCACTGCTAAAGCATCTCTAAAACGGGAGAGAGAAAGGATAGTATCTATACCCGAGAAGACTAAGAAAAAGCGTCGGAAGGAATTCTAACCTGTGATTGCGATCGTCTTGTAGTACCTATGGCACATGCATTCGTATTGACACGTATGGTATCGTATGGTACCTCCGGATTTAGTTATGTATCGGTACATGAGAAGTTACTGTTTTATCAATGCAAGAGCTGGTGGCATACATACATATAGAGACTATGCTCCATCAAAGGCGGTTACATCGTGATTGATCATCATTACGAACGTGAACAATTGGTTCCGAAGCTAAAGCAGACACAAAAGAACGGCAATTTCCAGAACTGAAAACCGTTCGAACCGCATATCCGTCACTAAGACAGAAAGCGTAGTAAAAAGAACCTCTTGGGATCCATTACACGCGTGCACTTCTCCATGCGCTCTGCATAGCAATGCGCCTCGCCTACAAAGGCTGGTCAGAATCATAGACAGTAGACGAGGCACACTGTTCATACCTGGTCAAGGGTGATTGAGTCCTCGCGTAGCTCGATGCGTTGTCGTCCATCACCATCCTCCTCGTCATCATCGTCATCAAATGTAGTGCGTGTCCCACCACGCATTCCCCCAAACGCGGCCTTACCACCTGCCAGAGAGAACGGGGTGGATGCAACTGCTGTAGCAAACACACTTGCATTCTTCGGAGCGCCGAATGCTGCGAAGTCCGTTACAACCTTACGTGGCGGCGAACCTGTTGTGGACGAAAAGCTCGGCGACGTCGGCGACTTCGTGATACTAGTTGAAGTACTTCCAGGGCGAGGAGGGGGGTAGGGAGAGTAAGCATAGGACCCACGCGTGGATGTCATGCGTGCGTGAAGGTATTTGTCAGTGAACCGTGTTCCTTGAACCTGTCAAACCGTTCAGCATTGAGTTGACAAGATACAGTGTAGAGGACACACCCTTTTCAGCAATGGACGAGCTTCGGCAAGGTTCGAGGCTTGCGTGTACACGTTGACGTTGTGTTTAGCTTCTTCGGACTCGCGGTAGATGCTCTCAATGACAACCCTCTTCGTATTCTCATTACGAAGGAGGAGTCGCTCGTGGAGTTCCCGAGCAACGTCATCGACACTCTCATTATTTCCGAGAATTCGTTGAGAAACAGCTTCTCCCACTTCGCGCACGAGTCGTTCCATATCGAGGTTCTCGAGCACACTGCCTACGATTGCGTGAGTGAGCAAATCCGCGGTAGTGAGAGGGAGCATTAGCCCTGATGTGATATTTGTAATTGCTTGGAAGAAATCGGTGGCATACTGCGCCGAAGTCAGGAGGATATTTGAAATGTATGTCACTGAGCTCACCGAGTAGCCACTGAGAGCTGGCTCACAGGCGACGAAGAACTAGAGCACAATCAGAGTGCAATCTACTGATACTAGACAAAAGGCTCACTAGAGTAATACCGCGGCTGGCCATCATTCTGGCAAGTTGCAATGGATCATGGCCATCGGGAGAACCGTCGTCAAACCCTACACTGCATGTAAGTCAACTAGGAGAAGGTAAAAGAAGTTTGTATACCATCTCCGTATTCTCCTATTCCGTGTGGTGGGGCGTCAGCTATTAGCACGACCATCTTGCTCGCGTTGGGACGCCATTCCATATTCAACGCCTCAGCGAGAGCTGCAGTGACCGCCTCAGGCCCATCACCTCCACCCGACGCATATAGACTTGACAAATCCCGATGAACTTGCGAAATATCTGACGAGAATCCGAAGTTTTTGGTGATATATGTGTGATCCTGTGGCGGGTGATCTCGATATGCGACTAGTCCAATACGTAGATCTTCGCGAGCCTGTAGCTTCCCGGATTCGTAGATGTGGTTGCAGATCTCTTCAATGTTCCTCGTAGCCGAAGTGATATAGCTGCCTTGACTCCCAGTACAGTCCTGAACAAAGACAAGATCCCTGGGCGTTCAAAAATGTGAGACGGTCGACGCTCGAATTGAAAAGAAAGAACAAAGGGTAGAGTGTGCGTACAGCATCTTGCGACCATATTCCACAGCTCCTCCGTGAATCTGTGGCTGATATTGTTCGTAGGACGTTCCTTGGAGGTTGCCTGATATTCCTGAGTCGAAATCCATGTCTTCATCCATGGCGACTAGGTGGATTCGTCAGGTAGATGCTAAGAGGTCGGAAATATCTTGTGTTTTCCAAATCAAGTTGAGGAGCACTCAGAGACACAATGTGTCCAAGATAATACAATCGATGGTGGCCGAAAGATTGAGAGTCAGGATGTGTATTGGTGGAATGCTATTGTGACCCTTATGAAGTTATGTCATTCGCGGCCACTGCCCTTCACGCTTCACGCGCTGACTCGGACGCCACGCCGGTGTCGCGCGGTATCCTCTCACTCATGATCATCCGGACCTTACCACCTTCAGCGCGTTGTACATTTCACTCAAGGATTGACATCTCCCAAATGAAGTACGCCCAATACAAAGAAATCTATCGATATGCAAGCAATTAGTAGATCAAGTAACGTAACTAAAGTTCCTTCCTCGCACTACCCAACAACCAACTAGCCCACTGCGCTCCGAGACCGCCGAATGTACTTCCTGGCCGTGCAAACGTCCGATATACAAGCAGAAGTCCAGTCGCAAGCCCTCCCACCATTGTACACACCTTGACATACAGCCGAAAACGAGCTGCCGTTGTCATCGCACGATCTGAACCTCCCGGTATAGCTGAATTTCTGCTTGGCAATGAGACATTGGCATGAGGGGATCGTCAGGCAAAGAAAATACTCACGGATTCATTGCAGTGCTGCAGATGGCATGGAAAACGTCTGCGATCTGCCCCGTCTTCACGCTGACAGCGACTGGCACCTGAAGGCTTAATCGTCGGCAGTACACATCGGGTTGCACCTCATGTCTCTGTACGCCAACATGTCATCAGCAGTGTATTAAATCATAGGCAGATGGATAATTGACCTGTTGTGCAAGGTCTAGATCAGACTTTGTGGCTACAAATAGTGTCGGAATGTGATCAAGGCTATATTGTTGCTGCAGTATCGTCAGAACGATACTGACAAAACCCAAGGCATACAACATACCCTCAAGTTGCTGATATACGAGAAGGAATTCGTATCGCTCGAGTCGTAGACATAGAGTATCACATCTGCCAAATCCGTTTTTTTCGGATTTCGCAATGTTTCTGCCTCGTACTTCGAGCCGAACTCCTGTAGCTTGATCGATGTATACGATTTCAATGAAATGAAACTGAACGTCGATGAATGACGTACAACAAGATACTTCTCCGAACCGTCTATGTCAACAGAATTGACCACGGAATTCATCTTTTTGGTGGGTTCATATGTGTCGCTGAAGGGTTTATCGGCAAATGCACGCAGCAGCGAGGTTTTCCCCGATCCTGCCGCTCCACATACGTAACATAAGAACACATTACGCGTCACCTTGCCTTTCCGACGATCCACCTTACGCGGCCGGGTGATGTGTAACGCAGATGTACGTGGATCATCAGGATAGCCCAGATATGCCAGATTTGCAAGCGTGGTCTTGTAGTCCAGGAGAGTTGTCATGCTATTATGATGTTACTTGCCGAACGCGAAGCAATATAATTGCACGCACCTCCACTGTGCTAGCCATCCTTGCAAAGTCACTGCACCTGTGTCATCCGCAACCGTGGTGTCTGGAAACTTTTGACTAGCCCATGGATTTCCTGGCGATGTACTAAATAAATCTTCCAACTCTTCAGTCTTGAGGGCACCATCTTGGTCCTGGCTTGTAATTAGGTTTAGAAGATCGATGAGAGAATAAACCAACCTTGTCGAAGGTCTCGAAGATATCTGTGAAAAATTGATATCCTTTGGGACTAAGTTCGACAGAACAATCATACGGGACATCAAATCTAACCTATGTATTAGCAAATTGGTTTATATGGAAGAATGATAGAGAATACTGACTTAGGGTATAGGAAGCTTTCCGTCAGACGTAGATCTTCAGCATACCCAAATTTGCGCAGAACAGTCCAAGTGGTCTCCAAACGTCCGCGCTGGATAAAAATGGTATGCAAATAGAGGAAGCCTGCCTCTGTGAGGCCTCCATCGCGGACCCCTCCCTCAGCATGCTGTTGGACCATATCCTTGATACCTTCCAGCTCCTGTGCTTGCAGAGGAGCGTCGAAACATTTACGCTGACGTGCCTACATGAAATTGCGTATAGAGCAAAGAATCACAATTCACACCCACTTGAAACTCGTTCAATTCGGAAGCATCAAGGATGCCATCCTTGTTGGCGTCGCAAAGTTTGAATATGCGTCTGAGAGCAGCCACACATTCCTTTTTCAGGACCTGTTCCAGATCATCGCAGCGTTAAGCGATGACATGAAGATGCAGACCTGGGGACACACATGATCTCTCGAATCATATAAAGGGGCGGTCGGGTGTAATACTGCTTTTTGGGCAAAGTAGAAGACCTCAGACACATTCAGAGGGAGTTTAGCGGAGCATTCTACACATGTCTCGACTTCCTAGCATTTTGGTCAATTTACGGCAAAGCTGAACAGGCTCGGGGGCTTAATGTCCCGAAGTTACGGACCTTGAACTCGTTCATGATAGGGATAATCTCCTCTTCCAATGCATCATTAGTCACCTCTCCGCCTCGCAAGTCGATTTTATTGCCGACCAGAATCACCGGAACCTAGACGGCTGTCAGAGCTATTCTCGCACGCGAAAAAACGCTAGAGGTACATTGACGCCAAGCTGCCGAAAATACGGTAACCAGTAGGTGGGTATCCGATCGAAAGAGTTCGGATTGTCAATGGAATATACGACACAAATGACATGGGCCTTGCGTATCTCGGATTCGAGATGAGGTCTATCCTGAGGTCCACCTAGTTGAGCCGCCAGCTTCAGACAGGGAGGAAACGAAGGAGGCATGTCGCACTCACTGCCAGAGTCAACTATGTACGTCGTGACATTCTCAGGTGTCACCTCGGGGGGTATGGTGACTTCAGGGACGACGTGCTGAACCTGGCGTTGGCGTTAATACATCAAAAATTTGGGAGATGGCCTCATGGACATACATGTGCTACATAGGATTCCTTGATAAGTGAGGTGACAATTGTGCTTTTCCCGACGCCATCTGATGTTCGTGAGTCAACTTTTGCACTAGTTTGTGGGGAAACGTGGCGCACCGTCGCCTACAAGTAGGATCCGAACATCCCTTCTCGTTCGCTGAAGGGGGGTCAAATCCTGCTGCATGGCCCACGTGGACGCTGGATCCGTTCGCAAGCCGTCGTGGAAGAGCGATTGTAGAGAATGGGGTGGGGAAGAGAGCAACGGACAGTCCGCCACCGCCAAGTGCCACATACCGAAGCATCTCCGCCAGAACGCGTGAGCATGGCACGACAAATATGTCTTCATGCGATTATGTAAGCACATGAACACTACTCGCTCATAAACTCCCTCCAGCCCCACAGATAAGTGCATCCCTCTTAAATCCCTCTCCCTTCACCTCATCTGTCTGACCATGAACTTTGGCCGACAGTACAACTCGAAGCTTTCACAGTCCTTCTCAGTAATTTCCCAAAGGAGCACCTCTGCGCCCTTGCATTTCACAGATCTACCAGAAGATGTGATCATTCTAGCGATGCATTACCTCACTGTCCGAGAATTGGCATCTCTGGCACGGACGTGCATGTCCCTGTATTGCTTGGTGAGTCCACTTTACGGTTTCTTCTCTAGCCAAAGACCTACTGATTATTTGTAGGTCAACGAAGTTGGCTGGAGCGTCTTCCTACGATGTAATCCCTGGCCGTCGTTTAGTTCGCGTAGGTCGCTTAAAACCTGGGACGCATACTCGCACGTACGGTACGTATCGATGCATAATTTGTGGGCATTCTGCGTTGAAATGGCCCCTCGGACAGGTATCGCACAATTGCCGATCGCAATTGGATTAAATCCGCGTTCGTGGCTCGTCCCTTATCTCGAAAGTGGACCGGCAAACTACAGCCCGTCTTGGCGATCAATACCTCAAGACTCGTCGTAGGCGCAGGCGTCACCATATACTCATATGTCTTCACAACAGCGAAAGCCGGCGTGTCGCCAGGGATTCGCCTCGAGGGCTCGTATACCACAAGCTCTCAGCTGCAAGCTCGTAGAGATATCACAAGCATTGCGTCTGTGCCGGATGGAGGCATGGATCGTGCGTTCTATGTCGGCTACGCTGACGGTGGCGTAGAGCGCGTCATACTTCCCCATGTTTCGTCAAGCTCGGGGAGCACGTTCATAGAGCCATCGCTAAGGGAGAAACATTGTTATCACGGGGACGACGTGGTGGAAAGCATCTCTTCGTCAGGCAATTACGTGTTGTCACTCTCATCTGGCGGCACCGTCGCTTTCATGAACCTCGCTTCTTCATCCTTCTTGCCGCAGCTCATGGGTCTTGGAGCTCGGAGCTGGTCTTCCTACTTGTCCACGAGAGGTTCTACACCATATGCCGTTCTCGGTACGTCCTCTGTCGATCCATTAGTCGTACACAGCATCTATGCGTCGGAACTGTCCAGCAGTCCGACCGCTGTACTATCCTCGGGTTCTACCGACGGATTCCGCAAACCATCTGCAGTCTATGGCATTTCAGGCGCGCCGCTATCCTCACCATGGGGATCATCAGACCAGATAGTCGTGTCTGGCTGGTACGATGGCCTTGTCCATGTCCACGATATGCGATCTTCCGCTCGCCTTTGTGCGATTGATCACCGTGATGGACCCTCTCCTCTGCGCCCGGTGCTTTCCGTTTACGACCCCTGGACTTTTGAGCCGAATTATTGTGTTGCCTGCGGTGGTGGATCTTCGAGCTTCATCGCGGCGGGAACGGCTCGTCACAGTGTCGTGGCGTTATGGGATGTTCGCTCTCCCGCTCAAGGCTGGAGTGTCCACGCTCCGGGAAACGACTCCTCACCGGTATACTCCATCGTCCTTGAGAGCGCTCGCTTATTTGGGGCAACTCAGTCACGACCATTCGTGCTCGATTTTGGCGCGCACACCCAGGAAGATACATATCCAAGTTTGTCATCGAACCATCGAGAAGAGGGCTTGAAGAAAAGGGATCGGAGTGGTGCTGGCTTCTATGTCACCAAATATACCCATAGCCAATAACGGTGATACTTTCCGTCTGGTTAGATTATTAAGCTTCTTGGTGCACGTGGTGAATACTCGCGTTAGGCATGTATGCATTCGCAGTCGCAAGTTTCCTGTAGAAATTTCCTTCGTACTCAAGGGTTGAAAGTTGCTTGAGTTAGCACATCAATGCCTGACCATGGTTTAACAGAGGCCTGCATTTTAACGACAATACACATGGTGGATGTAACCCTGTAGGGGTGTTCATTATGTTAGCAAACTTGTTCATGAATGACACCGGGGATCAATGTATCAACCCACGATTGACTTAATTTACAATGATATCAGCCCCTTCTGTAGTATTACAGTCATTTGCATATCGACACAATGCATCATCTGATTTTGCATACAGTTTGCGAGGTCCGTTTCGTAAGGAGCAGTGTATGAGATGCGTCTGATGCGGAAGTCGAGCAATGGCAGCGGTCTTTGGATTTGTTAGAGCCGGTTGAAAAGCTTTGAATGCCCGCGCTGTTAGGGTGGTATTTGGTTGTATAACGCGAGGGGAGCTACAGGACGCTGAGGGCGGTGAAATAAGATGCAAAGAGAACTGGGAGAGCTCAATGGCACAGGCACGGTCCGCGGTCTGGACCATGGATCCAACTTGAAGACGCAGACTTGAACTTCGTCGCTACAGTACTGGTTTGATGCGACCCCGGGGCCCCATCTTCGCGACCCTGTCGTCCGCTTGCCGCCTCTTTGGCAATTTGCGCCTTCCAGTGGTCAATCATGCGGGACTTTTCTACGCACAACCCAGGCGTCTTCTCCCTGTGTTTCCTACAAATGGCTGGACGACCCTGACCTCTCACCGCGGGCACAAGTTTTGTGACGGTTGTCCACTGTACTTACAGCTTACTCCACGACTCGCTGATCTGAATGTCAGAAATCACATCCTCTTCAAATTCTCTGCCAAGCACGTCCGATTCTCCATATAGGTGCCCGCAAATTTTGGAATGATCTAATCCATTTCCCCCTTGCCGTGCTACAGGCGTCCTCGTCGAGCATTATCGACTCCGCGCATCGCAATTATGTATATTGCGCATTGCATGCGCTCAACATACGGGAAAGGTCTAATAATATCCCACTCGGCTACGCACCTAACGGAAGGCGCCGGATTTTGCAGCTGACGACAGGCAGTGAGGGCAGGTGGTGGAGACTCGACTGTCAAGGTGAGTCTTCGTACTATTTTTGTGATTGTCATATGTGCCACTGCTCTGCGCCCGTTCTGCATTGAGGAACTATGTGCATTATCTAGTTCCAGGCTTGCGGCATACGCTCGAATGCGCAAGCAGTGCTGTGCTACGTCTGTAAGTATGCATCTGGCGTGCTCAGGTACCTCAGGTAGTGTACTCGCTCATTGGTCCGGAAAGCACTTTTGAATGGGCTTAAAATTGGACCCTCTTGAAAAGCACCTTTATGGTGATGTTCTCATCTCCGATTAGCGCCACTGAGTAGCACTGAGACTGTCTTCATGGGTTGCCAATGCCATGGTGCAAACTCCATGACTATCGCGTGATATATTTTGTCGCACTGAGCGCGGAGGGGAGGACAGGAAAAGTATAGCTGTGTACATGCATTATAAAAATTAGAAACAGACAGTTTGGCAGGAGTTCTGGTTCTAAATTTTCATCCGTCATCATTATACTGGGCAGGTACGTCGAGTCAGTGTTCAAACAGTGACGACTTGTCTATATACAGGTGTTGACCCCACAAAGAGGCCAGTTTTTTTGTTAAAAAAATCAAACATGCAAAGATCTCAAAAGGACATAAAGAAGCAAAGGTAGCCAACTATACTTCCGACATGAATCTGTTCAGCTTGGATAGCAGGAACGTGATTGTTACTCAATTAACAGTGTCTGAATATGATTAGTGCCATTCCACTACAAGATTGTTGATGTTCGACAAAGGCTCCCAAGAGTACACAGGGAAATCGACGTATGTAACAGGAAGCAAAAAAAAGTAAATTTTCACCTCTACGTCTATTCTTGGACTACATCATGGTCGTATTTTAATTCACCCATGGCTATACGCAACCCTGCTCGTATAGAGTCCAAAAGAACCCCTCCATTCGCCATGCCGAAGACTAGTGTCGACGCATAGAAGAAATTTGCATTGCCTGTGCCTTGTGTCAACCAGAGAGAATGAAAAAGTGGTAACAGGAGAGATGCATGAAGATGCAGGAGACCTGTGATGACTGAATAGGACAAGTCTGTGATCAAGCAAAAGAAAAAGTCAGGAATCATAACAAGTATAAAAGACAACAAACACACAGGGGAATACTTCGGGAAACACCGATATCATGCTTATGAATAAGCCTGGATCTGAAAGCGTAGGATAGGATTTGAAGGTGGCGAATACTCCGAGAAGGAGATACCATCCATAGAGTATATCATGCCTATGGTGCATGATTGTAAGTTGGCGACTTTCGAGCCAAATGGGAGCGTCAAACTTACTGAAACTTGAGGCAAATTGGGATAACGTAGATGAATAAGTGTACCTAGCGGGAATGTGAATATGGAATGATGGATCATACACTCATCCCTTGTGACGAACCGAAAATACCATCAAAAAGAATGGTCTAAAGTGATCAAACATTTCGGTGAAGTAATACCACCAGAGACCTGTATTTGGAGTTAAATCAGGTAACAGGAACCTATGCATTCACATTCAGCATGGCCTTCGTTCGTAAAAGATCTGACTTACGGGGCCATCCATGACTGTTCAATCCATGCACAACTACCTGAACTTATGGTTGCCGCCAGAGTCAGAAACAATGAGTACAGTATGAATTCTGCAGCTAGCGGCGGCAAGAGCTTGATCTTGTCTGTATCGAGAGGTTGCGGTGATGCCAAACGCGACACTGGTCCCGTTACAATCAAGAGCATCAAAGGAATAACCAGGTGAACAGTAGAGAGGGACAGTTGAACAAGGAATGCGAATGTGAGCAATGACATTGATCGCTGGCCTGGAAGGTGTCTTCAACTTGTATAAACGATACACGGAAAATATTGTCAACATACCTCGGCAAGCAAACAGAAGCGCAAGAAGGCACAGAGCATTTTCATAACTTGAGGTAGACAGCGCTAGCGATGGCATCACAATATATGGATTTAGCAGGTACCTTGTATCAACAGTCAGCTTAATTCTGGCGGGCGGCGTGCTGATACGCACGAGGCGGCCACCAGGGCATCCCTTGAACTGTGGGATACGTTCAATCGGGCTCTCCATATGTTGACTAATGCCCATGCGGATACTGCGTCACACGCCGTCCAGAGTAATGGAGCGGTAAGTGTCGTGAGAGGAAGGACTGTAGAGAACAGCGATAGTAATAGGGGAGACTAGTTATCTTTTGTCATAGCCCTTCAAGAACATATACGCGGACAACATACATGACGAACAGCACCCTCATAGTAAGGATCAAGACCATGCTGAAGCAAATATACGCCTTCTTGCACTGCGGGCGAGTTAGCTAACTTGTAAACCTGCTGCAGATGGAAAGCAATTCGTACATCGAGAGTAGGCTGTCAGTGGCGACGACAATAGATGACTGTTTCTTACGTCTACCGGTAAAGGAGACAGCGCAAGACAGAGTCTTGCTGCGACGAGAGCAGAAAAGACCGGTACCTGGCTGAAATCCATTGAAGAGGTCGCGGTGGCTGAGAGCTGCTTTAACTTCCCGCGACATGGACTCCGCATACGCCCACCAGGGTTCGTCCTCTCAGCTGGCTTCGCACATCAAATACCACTTGCCTTATTTTACACCAACTGAAGTGGAACATCTATCTGATAGGCAACGAAGCAAATTATCTGTAGCACAAGAAGAGAAGATTAGGCAACAAGCATGTGGGTTCATAGAGGCGGTCGGCGCGAAGATCGGCTTGTGAGTCTCGCAGTAGCATATTGACACTGGCATGCTCAAGAGATATGCAGTCCCAGAAAGACGATTGCCACTGCACAGAACCTATACCACCGCTTTCACCTCTTCTTTGCGCGAAAAGACTTCAGCTATCCAGTACGTACATCCTATATTTGTCATGTGCTTGGATCTCAATTTACACCAGGATGTCAGTCTTGCATCGCTTTACGTCTCCTCGAAGATGCATGATACTCTTAAGAAACCACGTGAAATATTGATGGTCTCGTATGCGGTACACTTTCCAGAGCTTGCCGCTAAATCAAAGTCGATAGCGGGAGAAGTAGACATGGATCCAGCCGTATGTTTCCCCTCTTGTTTTACCTTGTTTTACCTTGTTCACTGAAACATTGACACGTAATTCTCTTCAGACAGTTGAGCACGATCGCTCACGACTACTTGCGGTGGAAAGGTTGCTACTCGAAACCGTGTGCTTTAATTTCACTTCGCGCTTGCCATTCCCATATGTCATCAAGGCTGGGAGATCTCTGGGAGGTAATCACATCATTTTCCACTTTCTCGTTTGTCTGAGCCTGACATGTTCTAGCTACCAAGAAACTGACCAAGCTGGCATGGCGCCTGACCATTGATAGGTCTGCCTATATCAGTTTTGAAGCATACACACGCGCTCATTATACATCGTGTAGCTTCCGAACACAAGTTAATCTTGAGTTTCCGCCGCATGTGGTTGCGCTTGGATGCCTGTATCTTGCAGCTTTGCTGTCTTCGCTCGAGCAGGATTCTTCTCCAGGGCGACCGGGATATAAAAGCAGTGCCGAGATTGCATCGATTCTTGGAAAGTCCGGGAAATGGGAAGAGAAATTCCAAACACAAGTCCAAGATTTGGAAGGTGATCGCGATACAATCTGTGTTTACTCCACTATCGCTCAACCCTGATTGCATTGCAGAAATTGCTCATTCGGTTATCGATCTACTCATATCAACGTCCCAAAATCCTCAGGCGAACACGTCACCCACAACCCCATCCTCTCCATCCCCTCATCTTGGTCGAAGCCAACTCGTACAGTCCCATATTGCACCTCTTCTCATACCATACAAGGCAGATCAACTCATCCGATTAAAGATTATAATGCGAGAGTCGGAACATCCTCCGAGGGAGAGAGACAACATTGCACTTGCGCAAGTCGAGAGCGAGGCGTCGTTACTAGGACGTAATGAAGGGACAGTTAGATTTCAATTCGGGCCTCCTGGTACTGTCGACGTTTGACATACCCGTCAGCCGCGGCAGCATATATTTGTACTCGACGGCGTTTGATGCACACTGACTTACAATCTAACGTAAGTTGTGAATGCATATCACTGGATGATTCAAGCTTGTAAACTTAATAAGATAAGTAAAGATATAGACACTACATCACGGACCTCCGGATACGCAGACACAGCGAATACAAACTGATAGACAGCAAATGAATGACAGTTATAAGGATGAAAAATGCTAGTGCTGTGCAGATATGGGAAACAGACAGTGAGATCACGAGGGAGATATCAGATGCGCGTACAAAACCATGTCCGAAATGAAGAAAAGAAATGAGCAAGATGGACGTATGAAAACAAGCAATCATGATGCAGAAGTTGGAGTGGTATGGTGTGATTGCGAACGGTTCGTCCAGTTGAATAGTTGCCGCACATCGCTGGCGGGAGGCGTATCCGCGGGCTGCTTTGGTTCTACTAATAGACTACGGCGATATAGGTCATGCAGATCGCCTCGATGTTTAGATTTCTCGAATGCGTCCTTCAGGTACTCCTGGACTTCGGGTATCTGTTTGAGATTATACGGGACCTGGAAGCGCTGCATATCTATGTTGCATTATAAGACGACGTAAGTTGAAATTGACGATTTTCTGATACTAACCTTGCACAATTCGAGTTAATTTGTGGTACTTATTGAAATTCAATAGTCTCTTGTCAGGCGACTTGGGTGATGCTCTGTGGGAAGGGTTGCCTTCGCGGCAGAATGTGACATCGGTGAGGTAGAGACCTGCAGCCGCGTCAGCCAACGCGGATCCTAAATAACTGGGACCATCCATGACGCACCTAAGAAAGGCACTGCAGGGGGCGAAGTATTGCGTAATCGAGTGCGGTACTCGTGGTAGTTGCGGGCGTGATCAGCAAGCTTTCTCAAAGCCTCCAGTTGTAGCTTGTTCTTTTGAGGCAAACCCTACAAAGCATACTTGATTATAAGATGTTCAGAAACAGGAAAAGACGACTTACAGTCCAGGTTTGCTGAAGTCGCGAGATGGTCGACGAGTCAAGAGCAGCCAGAATCGAGCGAGGGGTGCTAAAATTGTTGAGGGAGACACATCGCTGAAAATCGAGATCAGCCGAGCGATATATGTGGGAGGGAACTGATTAGCTTACGTCTGCAACCTTGATGAAAAACTTGACCAACGCGGTTCGCTTTTTGGTATCAAGTTCGTTCAAAATGCTTTCCGCGACATAACCAGTAATAGCAGTGCTCAAAGATGTGACAGCCTTGATGTTCACTGGCGATGCGACGCCGTCTTGTCCGGTTTCTAGCACTTCTTCAGGCCTGATTGCGCAGTACAATATGCATTCCATGGTCGTCAGCTGTCTGGCCAATTCCAAACAGTCAAAGTCTGTCACAGAAATTGCGCCAAAGTTCTTGCTTCTCAGAGCATTCAGCAATGCCTTCGTCATTACGGGCCTGGGCACTTCCGAAGGATGCATCACAGGAGGATTGAGAGACACGCTAATATCCCGTCCGCGCTCCATCTTGAGGTTTCCGCTAGCTTCGTTCATCGTTTGCCAGGAACCGATCAACTCCAGGATCCGTTGTGACGGGACCGGAAACATGGTAGCAAGAGCGTCGCGCGTGAAATCCAGTAGGGTCTGCAGTACTATGTTGTCGGTTGCTGGACGCCAGTGAGACTCGAGCCATGCCTTGACGAAGTTGGACACACGCAACCGGACAGGTAGCCCCTTGCGTTGTTGCCAGACATATTGATCCTCGACGGACAAGCTGAGGGGAGGGGACAAGTTATATCGAGCAATGATGGCCTCGACAAGATTCATGGGCGTGGTGAAAAGGCGGAATGTCAAGAAGAAGACGGCTGCAAACGCTTGCTCTACAACGGCATCATGGGGTGTCATTCGCTCAACCAGGGCTGCCAAGGTCGCACCAACCAGCTGACCATCGCTGTTGTAAGCAACATCATCGGGAGCATGGTCGTGCGACAGCGTCCAAGCGACGGGAGTAGTCCTGGCTGACTCAGAGAGCGAGGACCCAGGCACCGCCGGGAGATTACCATGTAGCAGCTTTTCCTCGAACGACATCGGGGAATGCGGCCGCCGCTGACTTCCCTCCCATGTCGTTCTGTCATCGTCTGTCTGAGCGATAGAAGCTGGCGAAGGCAAATCAGGAGCAACCGGTTCAGTGGGAATTCTCAAAGGGGGCAGCGAGTGATGTGTGGCCGCTGTATCATCAGCGCCGTCGACAGCTTCAGTCTCCACGTGTACTTTGGGCAATTGCCAAGGATTAGGCATGTCGACTTTCTGCATCGAGTCGGACGAAGATCGGTCCACTCGAACGGTCACATCAACGGAGGACACAGTCTGCGCCTGGATAGTGAGATCCTCCTCGTCAGCATTGGCGTCAATGGATGCATAAAGGTGACGCAGCCCATGGAAACTCGACGTCTTGCTAGGAGTCCGAGAGTGCGTGCTCGTATGATATGAAAACTTGCGAGGAGAATTCGGCATGTTAAATTCTCCCAACGGAGGAAGTTGGACGATAAGCGCCTTTTCGCCAATGGGTCGCTGCAGACACTTCTTCACGGCGCTGACACAATCTGAGCCGGCCTTCAAAGCATTGGTGGCACATCGCAAAAGTGTAGCTTTCTCTTCTTCCTCTGTAACGTCAGAAGGCGATGACATTGTGAGGACGCGTACTGAATCCGCCAACTTGCTCGTGACGTGATATAAACCCTCCTTTGCAGACTTCAAAGTCTGCGCCTTCGGCGCCGGAATATCTGGGTGCTTCAAGACCGCTTCAACTATGGTCAACAGTTTGCATACCATGTCTACGACTTCTCGGACCAGGTCGTACATATGTCCGGTACTCGAAGCATGCGACGAGCGCGAATGCGAGTGAGCATGGCCGATAAATGCAGCGATGGTCGACAAATAGTGATCGTGGGTATACCGCAATGCTTCCATAACCTCGGACGTGGTCGAGGGACCAGAGGGAAAAACCGGCGTTGCAGGCGTCCCAATGGATTCGCCGGATGAGAACGACGACGACGACGAGTGACTGCTACTGAAGGAGTGGTTTGTTTTGTGATGAGCAATAGCACCTTCAATGAGGCGCTTCGTTCGTGGAGTGAATGAATGGTGAGTGGCGCCTTGACCCACCAGTGTCTTCAGATGTGGCTTTAATGGCATCTGACGAACGTCCGCATCGAGAACAATTTGCTTTGGTGTTCTCAGGTCGCCCATACTTCTTGCGCGCAGAGGAGTATGAACAGTAGGATGGATAGCAAACTTCCGCGCGGATATTCGATGTTCTATCCCATTCGTTGTCTTGCTAGTGGCAGCCCAGCACTGGCCGAACTCACCTGGGTCGCTGGGCTCGTCGAACTGAACGGCGGTTCCATCTGAACTAGTCCACTGCTCACTAGAAGGAATCCCAAAGGCAGAGCCGGGCGGGCGCCCACCATGCTTCGGCAGCGGTACTCCGCATTGAACCAAGAGCGTCAAGAAGCCTCGGACATGCGCAAAAAGCTGACCACCTAATTTCACCATTGTCTCGATCTCTAACTCCTTTAAATCCTCGCTAAGATTTTCGTCAGAAGCCCTCTTCGCCTGTGATACTAGCGAAGCAAGATCCGACAAAATGCGTTTGCGCTCCTGCGCAAGAATCCCATGTAATTTCAGGATTGGCGCGTCACGTGATAAGCATCCAACATCAGAGAGGATGGCGCGCACACACGAGATGATATAGGCTGTCGATGGCTGAAAATGTGCTGTTCGATTCATTTTTGCCGCGTTCTGGAGCAGGGAGAGTCCGTGAAGGAGAGGAACCATGAGCGGAGGGCAATACGTGTCGGTATTTTGCCCGCCGCTGTCGGAAGGTATTGGGCGATGGTCTGTCCTTGAAAATGATTGGTTTCTCGCCGAAGGCGCAGCCATAGGCGTCGACCATGACGCTGCGGACGTTGCAGAAATTGAATGAGTGTGTCCAGAACGGGCATGCTGTAGGACACGTCAAGCCAACCAGCTGTATCGAGTACCAAAGGACGCTCACCGTCACTTTGGGCAGCTCTTCCTCGGTTAAAAGACCAACATCTGATGTTACATAGTTACTGGGGAACCAGCCCCGCCGCCCGTCCAGTTCGCCATCCCACCAGCCGCTAGAGTCCCGGTTGATAACGCGGATGACCTGGCCAGCCGTGAACGCAAGGCAAGTAACATTCTGACTTTGGGGCGCGAAGTCATGCATCGCGAGTACATACTCCTGCACACTGGGGCCATCGTCGTCTGAGGGACATTCAGCCGGTGTCCGTGCACGCCGAGTGCTGTGTGAAGTTGACGGTCGAGAGGGATAGGAACGAGCAACACTGGATATTGACGAGGACGCGGATGCGGAGGATGTGCTCCTGGGTCTGAAGCTCCGAGCTGATGCGTGGCTCAAGCTAGCAGTGGAAGCTGAAGCTTGCCGACTTGACGAAGGATCTGTTAATGCATTTGCCGAGGTATCGATCCTGAGGTCGCGATTTACAGGAGGCATCCCTCATTCGCCTGAGATTATTCTGAGCGAGGATATCACGCCGCTATAAGATCAGTTGGCTCAAGCAAATTTATTTGCACGGACCTGAAGAAGTAGTCTTGTGTTCGGTATACTCGGTGCTAGAGGGTCCGAAATGAAACCGTGAGATGAGGGCGGAATTACCGAGACGATTAGAACAACGTGGATACAGTATGTTCGCCAAATCGTAAGATAACGATGGCGTGAAGGGGGAAAAGAAGGGGGGATGTCCGGTGCACGCCTGCTCTCCAACTTCGACTCGGAAGACTGCGCGCGTGTTGATTTCCCTGTCACGAACGCGTTACATCTTGTCACGCGTTTCCAACCGATCGCGTCTGTCGATCTGATTTTGAATCTCTCAGCCTCTGTCACCTGCAGGTGCCACTCCTGACGGAAGCAATCATGGTAGCAGCCAGATTTAAGACTTTCTGTTTAAGAGGAGAGTTACATCAACTTAACAAAGGTGCTCATATACTGGACCCATTACTGCGTGTCATGATAAATCTACTAATCAATATTCGAATGTCCAGCATAGTGGACCCGTCCTCACTCTGGCTCTAGGTTTCGTGAGACGGGCCTCTCCTTCACAACAATCTCGAAATCATATGAGTTGAACCCAATGTGTACCAAGCTCATCTTATCCATAGATTCAACCCACACGCCCTGAGCGTTGTGGCAGCCAGACCATACCCAGTCCCTTCTTCAGAAGTCAACGTCCTCATGGATGTCCGTGAGCAACACCAGCTTTTCTCCTGCAATCGAAAAATGATTGTTTCTGACTGAAACAAACCAGCCTTCAGAGTCTTCTTCTCGAATGGCTGCTATCTCGCCCTTATAGCTACCATCCAAGACGAGCGTTCTGACCAGGGCGATCCACCTCCACAGGCCAGAGGTACTCCATAGGGGTCGCACTGACTTCACAAAGATCGAATTGTGAAGTCAGTAAGCCGACATTTCACGCGAATATATATATGCAGCATTAATTTAATGAACATAATGGTCCATTCAAAATACATTTCCAACCAACACGAGCGGTGTCAGCCGTGAAACAGTCTCCATATCGCGCGAAGTCTAGCGCCAGTGCCTGGCGCACTTCGAGTTAATCTAGAACCTGACTTGTCTGGTCTCGTGCCCAGACGTGTGTGTCTTCGACACGTCTGGGTACGAGACCAGACTTGTCTAAACTTAGCATTCGCCAAGATCGACTTGTCTTTGGATGCTCGGCGGTTATCCCAACCTGACTTATTCCTCCTTACTCTAGTAGCTGCCAACAAATTCCACGGACTTCCCATTTTTCAATCATCGCACTCCATGAGGCCAATTTGTCCCAGTCCTGCCAGATCTCCAAGTCTTCCGAGTTGGTCCACGTACATGTACATACATTTTCCTTCTATCTGCAGTTACACGTCAAATCCAAGTTGGTTATCGGCAGGTTTCAGGCGCTGCGAATGGGGACCCACACGCCCGTCCTCTCTCCACCGTTGCGTTTGCCACCTGCAAATGGCCACTCTATCTGATTTGCCACCGCAATTGCCACCCCCAACTCCTCAGCAAATGCCCATACGGTTCCAGGGTTTTTCTGGAACTGGCGTCCCACGAAGATGACGTCCGCGGAGCCCTGCACAAACGCAGTCTGTGAGTTTCTTACCGCACTGCCCCAACTATGCGGCTCCAACCTCACCTCGTCCAAAATCTCTTGTGCAAACTTGCCTGTATTGATCGCGCCCAAAGC